CTCTCTTAACTCAGCTTTAGCTCCCTCTGTACACGCTTGACCTCTTCCTTATCCCCCCTCCTAAAGGCTCTCTTCTTGTCATTCAGAAGAGCATTCAGGTCGCTGGTGATCCAGGGTTTGTTATTGGAAAAGCAGTGTACGTCTTTGGTGGGGATGGTGTTGTCTACGCAGAAGTTAATGTAGTCAGTGACACAGTCCACCATGCTGTCTATGTTGTTCCCATGTGGTTCATACAGCACATCCCAGTTGGTGGCCTCCAAAGCACAGCATAGATCCTCCATAGCCTCCTGAGACCATCTCCTCACAGTCCTCATGGTCGCAGGTTGGCGCTGGACAATAGGCGTGTATAGTGGTGTAAGGAGGACAAGGTTGTGATCTGATCTCCCAAGAGGAGAAGGGCTGTGGAACTACATGCATCCTTAGCATTGGTATATAAGTCCAGTGTTTTGTTTTCTCTGGTTGGGCACTTAACAAACTGTTGGAAAGTAGGCAAAGTGGTGGAAATAGATACGTGGTTAAAGTTCCCTGAAATAGCTATAAAAGCACTAGGGTGCTCTGTTTGTAGCCTGGCTGTGACTGTGCTTATGACATCACATGCTACCTCTGTGTTTGCCGTAGGTGGAATGTAAACAACAACAAAGATGGCGCATGTAAACTCCCGCAGCAGTCCTATGGCTACCGCAAGCCCTCCTCCTTTCCTCTTACCGCTCTTGGTGTTTCTGTCCGCCGGCACCGTCTGAAAGCCGCCGATGGTAACGTTCGAGTCCGGAATAAGTTCCTGCAGCCACGTCTTGTTGAAACACATGATACTGCATTCACGATACTTCTTCTGGCTCCTCAGCAATGCTCCCAGTTCCATCTTGTTCGCTAAGGATTCCCATGATAATCGAAGGAAGGTAGGGTTTAAATCTCCTTCTCTTCGCCTTTCGCGTTGCACCAGCCCTACAGCCTCGGCTTCTCCTCCTCAGCTCCTCCGGCACCGATGGCTTCTCTCCAGTGAGTAGAGAAGGACACGCTTGCGCGTGTAGCTATCCGCATTGCAACCCGATAGAAACAGAGGTCCAAGTATCAGAAAAAACAAGAAAAAGTATCTCAGCTTCCTAGTATCCATCATGTTGTGATCGCAAATCTAGTTGCCGGCAAAGGTATGAAAAAATAACACTAGCACACTAGCATTAACTAACTGAAAGAAACAAAAAGACAACAAAAAGACACAGAGCTGCTGTAGCAGGCTGCCACTAACACGGCGCCATCTCGCCATCCATCCATTAAGCAGAGTTTGTGTTAACACAAGACCCCCTTTTGAATGAGTTTTAATCAACTTTGTCTGTCCAGGGGGGATGGGCAGAGTGATGGAGAGTGAAAAAAAATACAGCGGGCACTTTTCCTTCTGCCCTGGTGTGATGTGATAATGTGGAAAACAGGGATTTTTATTTTACTGAGAGTGTGAACATTGAGTGAGCACTGGGGCATACAGTGAGACTAACACAGTGAGATTACTTAAGTTAAACAATTGGCAAGCCAAGATTCTGACTGATTTAATTCCCCTCATTTAGCTGAAACGTATAAAGAAATTGTGCAGTAGTTATATGTATTGGACAGTGCTCTGTTTTATTAACTGACTCAAACCTGTGTCGTACAGTGATATAGATGTGGGTAATGTCATCCCCAACCCATCCATGCAGGGTTACTCCTGTATGCCAGTCCCAAACCCGGACAAATGGGGAGGGTTGAGGAAAGACCTGGCGACCTACCCTAGAAAACCATCGCCATGAAAATTCTTGGAAAATCTCTCACATGTTTCAAATATGGTACCCAATGGTAGACCCCCCAGGCCAGCAGGTATCCAAAAAGCGACTGGGGAAGAGCAAGGATCATTTGCGAGTAATCCGGGATTTTATGACGCAAATGGGGGAAATCCTTCGGGAAGCCCAGATGCTGATGCTGCCTGTGATCAAAGAAAGAATTTGCGCTGCACAATAACGCACAAGATCTCAACATGGAACGGCCGCGGAATGCGGGGAAACTGGGCATCATCAAGCGAGAAATGATAAGACTCAACATAGATTTGCTTGGTATTAGTGAATTACACTGGAAAGATAACGGCCACTTCAAATTGGACAACTTTTCAGTGTATTATTCTGGACATCAAGAACTTAGAAGAAATGGAGTAGCTCTCATAGCTCACAAGAACATAGCCCATTCAGTCGAGAGCTACACCACCATCAGCGACCGCATAATGGCCATTCGTATCCGTGGAAAACCACTAAATGTCACGGTTTTACAAGTCTATGCTCCAACAACAGATGGTCCAGAAGATGAAAGAGAACAATTTTATGCCAAAATCAAGGAAGTACTGGAACAAGTGCCCAAAAAGGATATCATTTATATCATGGGCGATTTCAACACGAAGGTCGGCAGTCAGGAAGAGGCGAACATCATAGGCCGGTGTGGATTGGGCGAAAGGACGAAGCTGGTGATAGTTTTGTCCAATTCTGCCATGAAAACCATCTCAGGGTCTCAAATACGTGGTTAATGCAACCAAAATGCCATCTGTACACCTGGACAGCCCCCAATGGACAGCATCGCAATCAGATGGATTACATCTAATTTTGGTCACCAATAGAGAGGTTCTGGAGCACATCAAGACAGAAATTTTGCCTGAGGGAAAGATCACCAGACTCCGGCTCACTTATTTTGGTCACGTGAT